CGGCGTGGTGATGTCCGTCCCCCCCCTCATCCCGCGGTGTCCCTCGGCAGGAGGCAAAGCAGGCGGAGAATATCTGCACCCTGGCCGACCTCCCCGAGGGGCAGGTGGGGAAACTGCTCATCCGTAAGTCGGGAAAGGTGCAGCTGGTGCTGGGCAAGGTGACTCTGGACGTGACCATGGGGACCCCCTGCTCCTTTCTGCAGGTACAGGGCGGGTGCTGGGGACCTGGTTTGTGGGGCTGCACCCCAAGGAAGCCCCTTGGGGGTCCCTAGGACCATTAGGGGGAGTGGGGTCGTGCTGGTCCCTAGGTGCTGGGGCTGGCAGCCCTTCACTGTGGCAGGGAGGGAGCCCTCTCTTGTCCCCAGGGTGTGGGTAGCAGGGGGGACACATCTCCTCCAGGCTTAGCCCCCCACAGCGGGCAGGGACCTCGGCCCTTCTCCCACCACGGTTAAAGGGTTTCCTGTGGGAGTGGGCTGCTCACGGGTATTTCTTCCCTCTGGAAAAGGAGCTGGTGTCTGTCGGCATCGGGGACAACCGGACGGGCGAGATGATCGTCCTGGGCCACGTGAAGCACAAACTGGTGTGTTCCCCGGACTTCGAGGCTCTGCTGGAGCACCGGCACCGATAGCCCAGGGGGAGCCGGGGGGAGGCCCAGCCCCATGCCCACAGCCCGTGGGGATGGTCCCGGCACAGCTCGGGGAGCCGGCGGTGCCCCGGCTCTGCCCTCTGCCCCTCCAGCCTTGCCGTCGGGATGTGGAGAGGGGTCTTCTGCAGGTGTGGGCGCAGGGCCAGCCCCTACCTCCTTCCCGGCCCTGCCGTGGAGCATGGCCAGGGCTGGGGGCTCTGGCTCTCTCCCCCAGACCCACTGCCCACCCCGTGCAAAACAGGCAGGGGCCGTGGCTGCCTTCATCTCACAGATTTCTGGATGTGCGGGACCCTGGTGTCCCCCCTGGCTCTCCGGCAGCCCTCCACACACTGGGGAGAGCAAGATACACACCCGTGGGGAGAAATGTGGAATAAAAACCTCTTTTCCCCCCAGCGTGGGGCTGCTCTGTCTCCTCCACCGTGCCGCCGGCAGCCTCCGCCCCGTGCCACCTGCCCGACCGGTTGCGGCCGGCCGGTCGGGCCCTGGTGTGGCACGTTCGGTGCTGGCACACGGGACCACGTCCTCGGCCACTTACTCCCCCGGCGCTCCCTTGGGAGACCTGGGGGGCCCTAGCATGGTGCCAGGCCTCGGCGTGCGGAGCCCTGGGGCTGAGCCCCCCCGGCCTGGGCAGGGGCAGGCAGCCGGGAGCATCTCCCTGCTCCGTGCCGAGGAAGCTGTGTTGGGGCCGCAGGGGGTGTGGGACCCTTCTGGTGTCCCTGGGCTCTGCTACAGCACGCGGTGGGGGGCTAGCGAGTGGCCACCACTGCACCCCCGGCATGGCGGCAGGAGGCTGCATGTCCTGGAACAGCATCACCCTGCTGTCTGCCGTCGTGGGGCTAAATCCTGCGTGCCCCGGCGAGCAGGGGGCGAGCATGGAAGCACCAATTGCCCGTGCAGAGCAGAGCTGGGGCTGCGCTTGCCCTTCTGCTGTTGCCCCCCTGCCCTGTCCCATCTTACCCCCCCATCCCATCCTATCTTACCCCATCCCATCTTACTCCCCCACGCCATCCCATTTTACCCCTCTGCCCCATCCCATCTTACCCCGCTGCCCCATTCTGTTTTACCCCCCCACCCCCTCCCATCTTCCCACCCCATCCCATCTAACTCCCTGCCCCACATCCCATTTTAGCCCCCTTGCCCCATTCCATCTTACCCCCTGCCCCATCCTGTTTTACCCCACACACTATCCCGTCTTACCCCCCTGCTCTGTCCCATTTTACCCCCTGTTCCATTCATTTTAGCCCCCTTGCCCCATCCCATCTTACCCCACCCCGTTCCATCCCATTTTAGCCCCCTGCCCCATCCTGTTTTACCCCAAACTCCAACCGATCTTACCCCCCTCCCATCTAA